TTTGTGTAGCACTGTCCTCTGCCCTTTGTTGTAGATCTTTGCTGTAGTTATAACCTTCACACCTACTGAAGTTAATGTGGAGCTCTACAGAGTTTGGACTTATCCAGCTGCGTCTGGCTTGGGTCTGCCTGCTGTGCTCAGCTCCTTCCTGCTGCGGACCAGGGCTAGGACTGGGTCTGGGGGTTCCGGACCTGGGCTAGGACTGGATCTCGGGGCTCCTGGAACTCGGCAGAAAATCCTAATCGGTGGGCGGGTTGGGGGAGGCACTGCGGAGTTGTGGTGGGCGGCCCGAGGGGCTGCTGTTTAAGTCCATTTGATGCAAATTTTTATTGAGTTATAGTACTTCTTTTGTAAATTTTTGTGTGTTTGACCTATCTTTTTGGGATAAGTTCTATTAAGGTCTCCTCTCTATGTTGTGTAATTGGATGTTATTTTTTTCATGTGGATTAAGATTTGTCTCATATAGTTGGGTGCTCCTGTGTTTGGCTTATGTATAGTTATGGCTTTTACACCTTCCTCTTGAATTTTTCCCCTAATCAGTATGTAGTGGCTTCCTTTATAACGTTTTATCATTCTTGGTTTGAAGTTCAGACTGTATGTGAACAAGATTGCTATCTCTGCTTTTTCTGAGGTGCTGTGGCATGTAGTATTGTTTTTCATCATTTGACTTTCAGCGTATGATTTTTTTATGAGTTAAGTGTGTTTCTTGTATACAGCATATTGTTAGATTTTGATTATTAATCCACTCTTCCAGTCTTTTTCTTCTAATCGGTGAATTGAGTCTTTTTACGTTGGTGTTTATAATTGAGATGTATTGACTTATGATTGACATGTTATTTACCTGCTGTTGAATTCCCTTTTTTTCTCCTGTGTTTAGTTGTTTGCCCTGTTGGGTGGGTTCTTTACGTTCTCATTCATGGGGTTGTGGACATTTTTGTCTGCATCTATAATATGTTTTAGTAGTCTGTGTAAGGTTTTTCTCTGTCATCCTGATATTCTTTATTTGTTTTTTGTCATGGAAATATTTCACTTCTCCATCATATTTGAAAGTGAGTTTTTCAATGTATAGCAGCATGGGTTGAATTTGTTTTTTAGGAGGACTTGAACTACTTTGTTCCATGCTCTTCTTGAATTGATGGTTTATGAAGAGAAATTTGCCATTGTTTTGATGGATTTTCCTTAATTCTTATTGGTTTCTCTTGTCTAGGGGCTTTTTAATATTATTTTTGTGCTGTATTTCTGGGTTCTTGACTATTATATGTCTGGTGTGTGTTTTTGATTGAGTTGATGTCATTTGGAATTCACTATACTGTGGTTAACTGAATATCAGTTTGTTTCCCCATATTTGGTAAGTTTTATACTATTACTTCTGCCCATATGCTTTTATGTCTTATTTTTATTTGCTCTTTCTTTTTCATTGATGTCTATTAGCCTCACGTTGTTCATCTTTGCATCGTGGCGCATTTGGTGAAGTAGTTTTCCTACATCCTAGTGGTTTTGAGCGATCTTTTCTTTCTTTTTCCTAGCTGTGTCAGTGTCTTCAAGTTTGGACACCCTATCTTCACTTTTATGCAAACAGTCTTGCCAGATTGTGATTGTTGTTTTAATTTTCTGTATATCTCTTTGAATCTGCTTCATGAATTTGATCTCTTTCCTATATTGCTCATTCAAGAATTCCATCATGTTTCTTTTGTCCTCTTTGTTTATCAGTGTCTTCTTTAGAAGCATCTAGTAACTCTTTCATGATAGTTATCATATTTTTTGCTTCTGAGATTATTTCGAATATAATTTCCTGTATACCTTTCTGCAGTTTTTTTTTTTTTTACTTCAGACACCATTAATTTTGAGATTTCATCAGTGTGTTTCTCAATTTCTTGCATTGTTATGTTTTCTGTATTTGTTCTGTGTGGGCTCGAGGCCCAAGACTGCATTTTGCTCCTTCTCTATGTCATTTTGAATAGCAATGTCTTCTGTCCTTTTGTGTAGAGATTTGGTGGAGTTATTTCCTTATCACCTACTGAAATTCTTACCCAAGAGAGATTATGTGGCTAAAGCATTTATAGTTTTGCATTTACCTAACTACAATTAGGAACACTAACAGTGGGTAGTGTTATTTAGCAGTTGTCAAGCTTTTGTAACTAAGGAGTTTGCATTTTACTCCGTAATAACAAACACTATTTCTGTGTGGTGAAGCAAATATGTAATAAGAAATTTGTATTTAAGTTAGTTACCCTACATTCTATCTGATTGCCTGCCCTTGGTTTACCTGGGGTTTTCCAGGCAGATTGATTCACCTCAGATATCTTTTACCCCCTGTCTGGATCTAGAGAGAAAGAGAGAAGATGCTCTCATAGATCTGTGTCTAGCAAAGTGTCTCAGCTTACCATGTTCTTTATTTACCAAGTGTGAATTCATTCAGTTGTGCTTTGCCTGAGTCCGGCTGCTGTGCTCAGTTTCTTCCTGCTGCAGCCCATGGCAGTAAACTCACTGTGTCCCTTGTCATGATGTTCAGCTCCAAGATTCGTTGGGTAGGTCTGGACCCTAGGCATTCTGCAGGGAGTTCTGCTGCAGGATTCCACACTAGGGCTGTCTGATGGAGGAGGTTCCTGTGAGTGTGCCGATCATTCCCCACACATGCTGAGCTTGGGTTCCTTCTGGAAAGGAATCGTGTGAGCAGGTAGGACACACACACACACACACACACACACACACACACACACGCACGCCTGGCTGTAAATGAATCAGACAAGCATGCAGAAAGTCTCATACACTCCCTGTGCCTGGATTCTGCCTGGAAAGTGATCCAGGGAGCTAGTCGAAGGTCCCACACATAAGCTGGGCTTCGGTTGTGGCTGGAAAGGGATCTGTGGAGTGGGCAGCAGTTGGGAAGATCACCCACACATCCAGGCCTGGGCTGTGGCTGGAAGGGATCCAGCGAGCCAGCGAATGATCACACACACACACACACACACACACACACACACACACCTATCTTTACTTTGTATCATAGTAATCTCATCATGTTTGTTTCTTTCAGAAACCATGCACCACTGTTGTTCTGGTGCAATGTGTTAATGTCTTACCTTGGAAACTTTGTATTTACAAGCAGGATACTGCCAATTACTTGTTGAATGGATCCAAGGAAATCATAAAAAATTTGATTTTTTTGTACAAAAGTAAGCATTTATCTGAATCTTTTCTCAGACCGCCCACAGCTCCGCCTGATAAATGGAGGCAGTCGTTGTGCAGGAAGAGTAGAGATCTTTCACCAGGACTCCTGGGGAACCATCTGTCATCGGTACTGGGACATAACTGATGCCAACGTAGTATGCAAAGACCTGGGCTGTGGAGCAGCTGTGGAAGCTGTATCCTCTGCTAATTATGGGGCTGGATCTGGGCCCATCTGGCTTGAAAGTCTGAGATGCACAGGAGAAGAGTCCCATGTGTGGCAGTGCCCTTCTCTTGGCTGGAACAATACCTACTGCACTCACGAGGCTGATGCTGGAGTCATCTGCACAGGTATGGTCAGTGTGTTGTCTATTGCCTGGCTGCATAGAAAATTTTAGGGAATTAAATGAATGATATCTGGGAAATAGGAAACAGTTTATAGAAGAGTAAAAGATCTGTTAATAAACTGCTTAGTGCACCCTAGGGTGATGGATTTCATTGACTTTCCCTTATCTCCCTTGCTGTTTTTACTAGTCCTTTGATAATGACCAAGAGAGAAATTTATTATAATGTCAGGTCAATTCAAATTAAATTTGATAGCGGACTTGGCCCAGCCCTCAACATCATAAAGCAGAGTATAGCAAAAGAGACAGGTAGTATGGTTTTTGGGGATCCAGGAAGGCCGGAAATTTCTGAGAGAAAATGAAAACCTTCTTCAAGCATCTCATTTTTATTAGGGCTCCATGGATGCAGGGGGTTGTAGAAAGTGGAGAGTAGAAAAGCCCAGGAAAGTAGTTAAAACAGAGGCAGTAAATAGTAAAAATTAGGAGAGCTGTTTGATCTCTAAGGCTGACCATTTATTATTGCTCTTGAATACTGAATGGTCTGCAGCTGCAGCCTTATCTTTTCTAGAGACTGAATCTAGAGTACTGTGGTCATTAGTTTATCCTTACATAACCTGATATCCATCCAAGTTTTACAGTTTTGGTTTTTGTAATTTACTTTTTTTTGGAGTAAAAGTTTACTGAGTTGATGCCACTAGTTTTTTTTTTTTTTTTTTTTTCCTACTGGGGATTGAACTCAGGACTTTGTCCTTGCCAGTCAGGTGCTTAGGCTGCTCAACTTTCTTCACAGACTTCTGCCAATTTCTAAAAAAGAGAAGAAAAATAGTGAAAAAAATAGAAATGAAACAGAATTTAAGCAAAATTATACGAATTCAACAGTTGTTATTTTACATATTGTTGTCTTCAAATTGGTTGTTCAAATTACCAGGTATAACAATGCACAATTTTTTGAAAACATTAACAAGAAAGAAGACAAACATAAATTTAATCATTGACTGCTCCTTTCAATAGATTAACAGAACAAATTTCTGGTATGTGGTGGACGTGGACAGTGTCCATGATGCTTCCTAGTGGCCAGATGTCACTTGTGGGACTGAGCTAATGCTATTTCCTTGATATCCACCCTGTAGATCGAGACAGTCATGACACACAGGGTGCAGGAGAAGTCCATTTATAGAGTATGCTGATGGAAATATTTTGCTGCCACGTATTAAAGAATAATCGAAAGACTGCTATTGTATTAAAAAAGATGAGCAGAACTTAGCAGTACGACTATCCCAGCTGTCCTTTGTATATACATATATATTTCTTGTTCTCTTTCTTCTTTCTTCTTTCCTTTCCCTCATCCCAGCTGTTCATTCCCTTTGAACAGTTTCTTTCCCTTTCACAGTATCTATTATAGTTTTTGACTTTATTTAATCTTTCAGGTTGTTACACTAGGAAGACAATACAGTGTTTACACATGTGGTTCTGGTATATTTCACTTATGTGTATGTTCTCTAGTTTATAATAATAAAATAATTGGAAGTCACTTTAAATTTTCCCATCTTCAACAATGAGTTTGTTAACGGGAGGAATGTGAATGTGGTGACAGTTTTCCTGGTCAAATTGAGGGTTTCATTATATGGAGTATGGTACATCATTTACCACTATGTCAGTCCACAAATAGGCACTAGAGATAGTATTAAACAAATCACTAAAGAATTCATGGACTATTTCAAAGTGGCAAGACTCCTTTGTAGATTCAGCTGCTAGTATTCCCTGTGCTTGGAAGGAGTGGTCAAGAAATATCGATGAAATCCTGAGTCATACATTCTCTTTTCATCATATATAAAAAAGATTTTCTACACTATTTCAAAGCATCATCTGTAAATTCAAACGCTTGAAAAACATTGAGCTCTGTGCCACCAGGTCAATGCTGGATGCAATGAAAAATTGAATATATTGGAATTAATATAGAATGATGCATCAGTGATATTAGGAAAGTTAATTTCAGGGTTTCTTTGAGAAAAATGGGAGTAAGGAGATGTGGAATTTTGAAAAAATGTAGAGTAGATTTACGTTTTGTAATAAAAGCTGACAAATAAACTATAAAGATTTTCTGAGTTAAACTGAGACTCTAGGTGTAAGGAATACCATATGTGTGCATAATATAAATTCTAAGTAGTTGTAGGAAGGCGATATTAGTTATACATGAGACTGATAGATGAAGTATTATTAATTGGGAAAAAAAGGTGATGAAATTTTCTTAAGAAAGATGCCTACCACACAGTGTATCTATGTTGCCAGAGATCAGGTAGGAATATTTTATTTTATTTTATTTTATTTTAGGTTATTAATAAATATGTGTGTGCAGTTCATAATGTTTACTTTTTATGGGTAGTTTGTACATATATGTAAGACATCATAATTTATTTTTTCACCTCTTCAAATCTCTTCACTGCTGTCCTTTTTATATACATTTTTGTACTACATAATGTGTACATTTGGAATGTAATTGGTGCATGTACATAACACATCCCAATTTTCCCTCCCTTAATTATTCCCGCCTCTTTTCCTCCCTTCATTTCTTAGTTCCCTTCCTCTCTGAGAATGATCTATCACTCTATTTCCTACCATTTATCTTTTATTTTGTTTTCTATTTTTACCCTGTTTTTTCATATAAGAGAAACCATGTGATATTTAAGCCTGTATGTCTGGTTTGCTTTACTTAAACTTATGATTTCAAGGCCAAGAAGGAATATATTTGACTGAAAATTTTATTTCACTTTAGGTGAGAATAAATCATATATATCAGTAACTATCTCCAGGGATGATTTTCTTTGTTCACTGAAAGCTTACAGGAACATCCCAAGTGGGATGTTTCTCTAGTATGTAAAAATCAAACTCAAAATAAGAATATCATTTTCCTATAATTTACATGCCCAGTACTTAATAAAGTTCATAACACATGGCAAACTCTGGAAGTATTTTTTTATATTGGTAGTTTCTCTCTTTGTTTATTTGGTACTAGGGATGAAACTCAGGGTCTTGCGCTTGCCAGGCATGCACTTATACCACTGAGCTACGTCTTCAGCCCTTGATTCTTATATTGGGAGAAAGACAAAATAGATTACCTTCAAGTACATCTCTCATTATGAATATATGACCAACCTATGAAAAAAAACTAGGTATACCACAGAGGTGTGGCTGCCCAAGCTATTTGAAACTCTCTGCACATCACCATATTCCCTGGATGCTGGTCATGGAACCACAGCACAGGATATTTTCCTTGTTGCATTATACTTGATTTGATCCTATTTCTTTGGATTTCTGTATTTTCATTCTTTAAATGGGAATGTTTGCCCAGTGACATTGCATCTTGAGAGCATGGAATTTGATTTTAAATGTAATTTTACAGAGGAGAGCCTCTAAGAGTTTGCCTTGAGTCTCAGAGCAGAATTTGGACCTGTGGTTTTGAGTAATGTTGGTATTGTTGGTGAGGGAATTAATGCATTTTCATTTGTAAGCAGAATAGTTACATCTTTTTAGATGGAATTATGAATTTGTTTTCTTCTTTATTTGGCGGTTAATATAGTTTAAGGAGATGTGTTTTGGAACCAAGTTGACAAATTGTGCATTGTGATGGATAATTTTGACTGTGTTGAGATACTCTAAGAGATTATTTAGAAAACATATTTCTGAGTATATCTGGGTCATAGAAGCTGACCTGAGGGATTTTTTTAGGTGCATGACCTCTTCCTCCCAAGTTCTATTTCTTACTTTCTGCTTCCTGGATTCTTTAAGGTGAACAGCCTTCTTCCATGCCCTCCTTCTACGAGGTTTCTGACATGGAGATACCTGTTAGTGGACTGAAACCTTGTATATTGTGAGAAAAAATGAACCTTTTCCCATTAATGTTCTGGATGGCAAGGGATTAGACCCCATAAAAATCTGAATAAAACGAACCTATATACACACTTTAAGAGTGAGGTAGTTTAGCAACCCATTTCCTAGAGAAATAGGTGTAAAGCTAGTTAAGTTGTCTCAAGTCACCATTTTAAGACAATAGTTTAACAGTTGTGCTGCTAACTTCATTTTAGTGATTTGCATTGTAAAGAAAACCTTTCTGAACAATTTAAGAAAGGAAATTCTTTTTGAACTTCTTTCTTAGTCTGGGGCACAAGTTTAGTTGTAAGCAGAAGTCTAACGTGTACAATGCCCTGAATTCCAACCCCAGAAAAATATATCCAGTATAAATGTTGTTTTTTTTTTTAAATTTTATTGAGAAACAAAGAGCAATGAGAAAGTTTCAAAGCCGATTAGTAGGAGAGTCTCAACAATCACTATATTGCACATTGTGGACTTCTTAGTGGTTATTCGTAGTAGAAAATATAGACATGATATCCCGTCCACAAACACTATTAGAAAAAATCTTTCTATTCATTGAATTAAGAGAATGAAGCTCTATATTTATACTAAAAATTTTGTTTATGCAGATACAAAATGGTCCTTCATTTCTACCCCATTTTTTGATTTAGTTTTATCAGAGAGGGGTTGTTCATTGCCATTTAAATATTGTAGGTGCGCAAATTCAGTAAAATATTCCAATATAGTCCAGTAGTCTATAATAGTAGTGGGATTTCTGTAGGACTGGCAAGGTCAGAAGTTGTTGACTTGAGCCTTTTACAGCTCAGCATATTAATATGGCTTTGATTTTTATACCTTATTTTTATACATTTCTGAAGGATGGGTAAGACCGACATAAAGCAAGACCTATATAACAAGAAATGTAACTTTTGTATCTGACAAGGTCAGTCAAATCCCCTTGGGATTTACCCTGGAACTCTGTACCACACTTTGGAGATCCTTTGTCAGTGTCAGCCATGTGGATGAGTCACGGCCATTGCTTGACCAATTTGTTCTCTGTGAAAGCCTGAGAGAATGTTTTCTTTTTATGTGACTTTCCTTAGAAATACCCCTCATCTTCAATCACTGTCTTCTGTAACCCCATAATCTCCTTGACCA